CCATCCATCCATCCATCCATCCATCCATCCACCCACCCACCCACCGTCTATCTATCCATTTGTTTAGCAGTTACTCTATGCTAAGCTCCGGTGTCCCACTGACTACTAGAGGGAGAAGGCAAATAATAAACTAATACTTTGATTAGACGTGCTCATTGTTCACAATGTAATGGAAGCGCCAGAGAGGTACTTAGCCTGCAGGAGTGCTCAGGGTGGCTTCCTGGATCTATAGTGAAGGGACCCCAGTGTGGGTCTGAAGGGGAGGGGACACCAGCCCTTGCCTTCCCCCACACCCCGAGACCCCTCCCTATTCTCCATTGCAGGTCGGTTCCACGCACTTTTACTGGGTTTCTACTTTTCCAGGCAAAGTGCCACGCCCTGAGGATGCCAACTGAATTGACTGGATCGCTGTCCTTCGGGAGCGAAGTCTGTAACCAGATAAGTTAACATCGCTGAATGAATGAATGAATGAATGAATGACTTCTTCCTGGAGCTCCTCCTCCACCCAGACCCTTCCCTTTCACCCGAGATCCAGGCATCTGGAAATGCGGTTTTTTTTGGCAGGTGCCTGAAGTAGGACTGGGATTTGAAAAACTTTTCATTTCCTGCTTTGTTCCAAAAACTGATGTGAAGGGATGGTTCTTGATAGCTCTGCAAGGTCGGCATAAAGTGGAGAGAAGCCGGAGCGAGGTGTCCAGAATGGGCCCCAGAGGTAGTCTTCCCTAATTACCCCACACCCCTCCTCCCACCACCACCCATCGCCAAGTAACCTTAGGGAGGAGATTTCTGGTTAACATCAGCCCTGAAGGAGAACTGGCTGTGTTTCAAGCGAAAACAAAACAATACAATTAAATGTTCAACTCTACATTTCAGGGTCAGGACCTGAGCTTCTCTGTGGCTCAGAGTCCCCCAGAGGTGGAGCTGGATTAAAGAAGCCTAGTGATGCAGTGATGCAGTATAGGTCATCACCTTTAGAGTAGGTGCAGAACTTCAGCTGAAGCCACAATATTTCGTGTATAGATAGCAACATTTTTCAGAGGAGATTTTATCAAATTTTAAAGGTTCTCCATTCGTTGAATAGTGGAGAAAGGTGTTAAGGGAGGGAGACATTGTAGTTGGTTTACGGTAGGTGGAATTTCACAGAGACTACAATTCCCAGAGATCTGTGCGGCAAAGCCTGAGCTCATTGGCAGGTGGGAAGGACCCGTCCCTTACGTGACAAATACAAAAGCCAATAGGCAGGGGGCATTGCTGAGCTTGCGGGACCGCCGCTCAAGTGTCGGAGCAGAGGGGGTCCGTATTTCCGGTTACCTGCTCGGGGCTCTGGATCCGCGGTCTCGTGAGGTGGGGGGGCCCTGGGGAGACTTGTTTGCAGTGAGGTATCCCCAGGTGGGGAGGCCGGGGTGGGCGGAGAGACGGGGGAAGCCAGCCGAGTGGTTGGGCTGCGTGTAGGGGACCCGCGTCGGGAGAAGGGGGTGGGGGTGAGCTGGCGGTGAGTTTAAACACGTGAATATATTTCCTGTGACTCACGAATGTTACTTCTGGGAAGTCATTCAGAACGCAAAGAGCACACTTTATGCTCAAAGACCTTTATCAACGTGTAGTTTATAACAGGATAAAGTTGGCTACAAGGAGCTCTGGTGGTGCAGCGATTAAAGTGC